CAGTCCTATGACTGCATATCGTAAAACTTTAACTGAAAAACGTTTAATTCATTAATTGATTGGTTGGTCGATGTAGTAATATTTGATACGTAAATATATTGCAATGAGGATAATTAGAATAATTTACTCTTCAAGTTCATCAGGCGTTCGCTGAGATTGTAGCGGGATAAATTGAAGAATTTCTTGAACGATTGATACCAGAGATGGAAGAATGTCTCGTCGTATTCGCGCAGAGGAATTTCGTTTGGGACTCGTTGCCCAGGAATTAATTCACTCCAGATCTGATTGCTCTTTTTTATTAAAGGATTAATTGGAAGGGGAATCCCCGAGGGGGGAAGGGTCTGGTGGGCCACTTCCGCAAGGAATTCTCTCATAATAGGAATTTTGGGACTCAATTTGTCTGGAAATTAAGAAAGAGGAGAAATATCAATTTCAAAATTATCATGGAATTACCTGTCTTGAGAAATTCTAAGATGTTGAATATTTGAACAAAAATAAAAACAAACATTTTTACTTTGATAATAATTAACACATGATAAATAATCTAAGTGACAAACATTTCCTATTTGATTTTAAAAATACCCTGTGAGGAATTAAAAATTTGATTAAACTACCTTTGGCTGAAATCCTAGGCTGGGACTATTCATCTAGAGATTGGGAGCAAAGAACGTTCATTCAATTATAAAAAAAAAATTTATTTCAATTTCAATAACCATCGAGAACTTAATAAACATTTTCACTACATTTTATACATGGAAAACGGGTTTATAATTCTATGAGGAGTCGATTAATGATGGAATGGAAAATGGATAGGCGATCCCGCTTTCAATTACAATATTACATTGAATTAAATTAAATTAATTCAATTTATTAGAATGTGTGATGAGTTTTGTGTGTGATTTGTGGGTACAACTGCATAGCACTTTCAGTTAAAAGCAGATGTCAAGCCAGCCACTGGAAAAAAATACATAAAAATAAAAAAAAAAAGACATTTTAGAATGGTAAAGCGTTAGGGTCACGTGTTGAAGTTAGTATTAATTATGGTTTTATAATTAATTGATCAAGGGTAATCTCAAATATTTTAATGAATGTTATCAGTGTAGTCATCGAAATGAGGGATGTTCGATTGGAATAAGTATCTCAAGTTAGAGACTGAGGTCGCAGACTTACAATAATCAGCCTCCTTATGTTGTACTGCGTTATGAAGTGCCAGTGCGAGATACGTATGATATTTCGTGAAACTAGATTCCATTAAATCGAGTTCCGCCGCAATCAGTTGCTTTGCCCCTCGCTGCCAACGGTCTCTTACGTGAACGCACATTCCCAGGAGCTAATAAAATAGGATAAAATACCCATTGAGACATTTTTCGATAAAAACAATTATCTTGGCATACCATTTTTCCATTAATTTGCTTACGTTATTAATTGTGACCATGATATCAGAAAACTGGGGAGTTTGGAGGCAATGCTCGTATACTTTTTCCAAATAATCGTTGTGAGCTGGAATAAAAAAAAATAGAGTGTCTTCAAAATCATGACAAATTGGGTAAATACCTTCGATAATGGCGTCTAAGCTATCGGCCAATGTCAACTCTTGTTCCAGTATTAAGCCGAGACTTTGGAGTACTTGACCGCATAAATAAGCGTGAATTGATCCAATCGCATGTAATAACCAGAATCTCAAGCTCTCCAGTCTTCTCGTGTGAAAATGATGAAGCATGTCATTCATATTTGCTGAATTTTGTCCTTCAAGATCTGAAAATAATACGAGTGGGATTTAATCAACCGATCTAAAAAAAATGTGTCAATACAAATTATTTTATGAGTACATAACGTAATTCAACAAGCGTATCACTCCTCATTTCATACGATTTAATTTCTTTAAGTGTTTTATTTTTTCGTTAATAAGTTCAGGACTCACCAGAAAATCTGAGATTATTGAGAGACCATAACGCCCACTTTAGCTTCAATGCAAACCTGAAGATGCAATTATATTTTCTTAATGCTTCCTTTGTTAGCACCATGTTGATCGGCCAATCGACATCATAATTCAGGACAATATGATCAATAGCCTGTAAAACCTGTCTAGTGCAAGTATCTCGCAATGAAACAAACCATCGATTGTGAGAATTAGAATCTCTCCATTCATCCGACAACACTTCCTCCAACAAATGCGTTAAACTCTCTGGATTACTCACGGAAACATTCCCCTCAATATCACTGAACATTTTTTGATAAAACCTCTTCATCACATGACCACGTTCCATCATAAATACGAATCTCATCAATCTCAGGTGGTTCTCCAGTTTATACTCATTAATCAATATATCTTTTACCAATTTAGTAGCACAGGAGTACCTCCTATCGAGGATCTCATCGACAACTCCTTCAAGAACTTTTCTAAAAGGTAAAACGAATGGAGAAATTTTTTCTAATCTTCGAAACACTC